GTGCATTCCCTGTGGTGGGAGTCCCCTTACAGGCCATCGGGAAGAGCTTCCAGCAGACACACGTGGGATGGGGACCAGAAAAGGGGCGCCGATTCTGTGAAGAAGAGACCAGAGGCTCAGAGTCCACATCTGGGGCTGCGCTTTGAGGAAGAGAAAAAGGTAGCGTCGTGCCTTTAGGAGGAAGAGCACCGTCGAACATGGGCTAGAGGAAGTGGTCAGTGGATGAAATGGAACCTCCAGTGAAATGCTGAAGAAATGTCGAGACGGGGGCAGACAGACATTCTTGTTTTTCTCCCTCTGATTTTAGGGAGAAAGTATTCAGTTTTCACTAGTTACTACAATGTTACCTGTGTTGTTGTTGTTGTTGTTGTTTTTTCATAGAGTCCTTGCATTAGATTGACAAAATTCTCTTTTGTTCTTACTTGGTAAAGTTTTTCTTATTTTTTAAATCATGAAATGGTATTGGACTTTTTTCAATTTTTCCTGCATCTTGTGGTCACATCATGTGGCTCTCTCTTGTTCTGTTCATATGGTGCACTGCATTAGTCGATTTTCAGATGTCAACCAATCTGACTTTCCTGGGATAAATCCCCCTCAGTCTGGAAGAACTGGTGGATGATCAATGTTAATTGGTAGAATTCACCAGCAAGGCCACCTGGGCCTGGGGTTTTCTAGTGGAAAGACCTGTTTTCCTCTTTGGTGCTGGGAGTTGAACTCGGGCCTCGTGCCTTCTGAGCACATGCTTCTGAGCACAGGCTCCACCACTCACCTGGGCTTCTACCTGTGGGACGCGTCTTGCTTACTGTCAATGTCTTTATCTGTAACGTGTTTGTTCCGTTTTTCTATTTCTTCGTGAGACCGTCTCGGGAAGTTGTGTTCTTCTGGAATTTTCCCCACTGAACCTAAGTGGTCTAGTTTGTTGGAGCAGAGTTGCTCACAACGCTCTCACCACCTTTTTACTGTCTGTGGGACTCGTGGTGATGTGGTGATGTCCCCTTTTTCATTTCTGACTTCTGTGATCTGCATTTTTCTTTTGACCTTGGTCAGTCTACCCTAAAAGATTTGTCAAGATTGCTCTTTATAACTTTCATTTATTGATTTTTTTGCACTGTTTTTATTTTCTACCTCTTTAGCTTCCATCTGTCGTTATTTCCTCCTTCTCCTTGTCTTGGGTTTAATTTGCTCTTCTTTTTTCTGGATCTACTGTTGACGTCATGTGTTACTGATTTAGGATCTTTCTTCTGTTCCAGGACACCATTTGATCTACACATCTGCCTCACGTCTTGCTTGGGCCGTGCCCTCTGACATGGCCAGCTCTGACTGCTGTCCCCTCTCTCACGTCCCTAACATTGCACTTCAGTTTGTGTGTTGGGGAAGGTCCTTCTGTCTTCCTTTCTGTCTGTCTTTCTTTTGTTCTTGGTGCTGGGCATTGAACCCAGGGCTTAGCATATGTTAGGTAAGTACTGTACCATTCAGCTGCACCGCAGCTCTGCTGGGGAACTGTATTTGAATGAAATCACATTGCATAACGTCGTCATAAATATACTTTCCAGGGGCTGGGGCTGTGGCTCAGAGGTAGAGCACTCACCTTCCATGCGTGAGGCACTGGGTTCAATCCTCAGCACAACATAAAAATAAAATAAAGATATTGCATCCACCAATAACAAAAAAAAAATAAATTAAAAAAATAAATAAATATACTTGCCAATGTTATGTTTGGTACTGGTACATTTTGTTACAAGTAACCTATATTGGTTTGTTTCTATATTTTTTCATTACATTCTATGGCACCATATCCTGTTATTGTGTGCATACTTTATTTATGTAATAAATAAACATAGAATCTTATCGTTGATGAACATGTGAGTTATTTCCAATTCACACCTAGTGTACGCACGGCTGTGCTGTGCCTGCATCCTGTACATGTGCCTTGGAGCTGTATGCACGTGTTTCTCTAGGTATAGTGCTCCTGCGTTTTCTCTTCTTCAGTGGGACTCGGTCACACTGCCTCCCTGCTGGTCCTGTATGAGAGTGTCCATCTCTTCCCGCCGTCGATACTTGATGCTTACAGTTGTTCTAATCTTAGTTATTCTGTGGGTGCGGTGTTATCTTCTTGTTGCTTTAATTTTCATTCTCTGTGACTACTAGGAAGGCTGAGCTCTGTTTAAACATTTATTTACAACTTTCATATTCTCTTGTATGAAGTGACTCTTCAAATATTTTTTTGTCCATTTTTCTCAAGGTTTCAAAAAGGTTGCTTTTTTTTTAAAAAAAATCATTTGTAGAATTTCTTACACATTCTGCACTGAAGTCTTTTGTCCTATGTGCATTGGAAATACTGAATTTTTGTGTCTTATCTTTTCACTCTTTTACGGTATTTTGGAGTGAATATAAGTTATTCATTTAATATAAGCAAAAATATGAATGATTTTCTTTTGAGTAGTACTTTTTATAATATTTTATGGTAAAAAAAATCCGCCTTAGCCTAAGATCATGAGGATGTTCTTCTAAATAAACCCCCAAAGCTTCATTGTCTGTCTTTAGATATAAGTCTTCCACCTGCCTGGGAGTGGCCTTTGTCTGTGGTAGAAGGAAGGGCTCCCATTTATATTCCCAGCAGGATTCCAGGTTTTCACTCCCCCAGCCTTCCCTGCCCTGTGATGTCCCACAGCCAGTGCTCCTGCAGGTGTGGGCTGTGGACAGGCCTCCGCTGCGTTCCCTGTGTGTGTCTCCTCTGCCTTGGACCCAGCACTACACTATGCCAATTATTAAAGCCCTACGATAGTTTTCAAGTTCAAATAGGACAAATCTTCCCCTATTCTTTCCTTCAGGAATGTTTTATCTACGCTAGTACAGTGGTGCACACCTGTGATCCCAATGATTCAGGAGGCTGAGGTAGGAGGACCTCAAATTTGGGGCCAGCCTCAGCAATTTAGCAAGACCCTATCTCAAAATTAAAAAAAAAAAAAGTTTTTAAAAACTGGTCTGTAGTTTTGTCAAAATACTACACCAATGTAATATCTTACTTTTGATAATTATGCAAAAGTGTGAGTTTTAGAATGAAAAAAAAAAAAGTTTTTAAAAGCTGGAGATATAGCTCAGAGCTAGAACATCCCTGTATTCACTCTCTAGTACAAAAAAAAAAAGTTTTATTTCATTTTAGCACTTTATGCTTCCAAATAATTTTTAGTGGAAGAAGTTTTCAAGATGTAAATAAAACAAGCAACAAACTTTCTGTGCATTTGTAGTAAATCCACAAATTAGTTTGAAGTGAACTGACATCTTTATGCTGTTTCTATTCCATGGACTTATTACAACTTTCCACTTACAGATCTATGTGATGTCTTAATTTTTTCAATAGAAAACTTTGTATCTTTTTTCACATTTATTATTAAATATTTTATATTTTATGGTAGTTTAATCATTAATTTCGGGCTT